TTTGGTGGCTGGCACTGCACACCTGGGGTTCCAGGGCCAATGCATTATGTGGTACTAGGGATCAGAGATTGAATGTGCTCGCCAGGTAGGTGCATAGACTGCTGAGCTACCTCCCCAGCCTGAGGATTAGGTTTAACATGACAAATCCACCATTCCCATTTCCCTGAGACTTTGAATCCCCTCATCAGCAGTAAAGCATGGGACATAAGGCATCTCTAACTCATTCTCAGTGGATCATCTTTTGATCCACACTTCTGTCAACCAGCTAAACATAGTAAACTTATTGACAGCTTTTTTTTTTTTTTTTTTTTTTTTGGCCAGCTCAGCCCACCCCGAGGACAGTGCTGACAGTGGCATGTGGTATCTGCGGATCAAACCACATTTCCCTGTGCCTGCTTAAGATTACCTAAGCAGGTGCAAGCTATCTCACCGGCCCCTAACAGCTTTTTTGTTTGTTTGTTTGTTTACTCCATGAGCTACAACATTAAATTCAGAGTCTCTATTTAATGAGCCAATATTGACAAACATAGTTTGATGCAGGAGTAGATTTTTTGCCACAATTAAATCCATTCCCTCATTTGCTTGTCAGGGCTCTGCTTATTAGAGTTCGAAAACTCACAAATGTTCTTTGGAACAATAGCAGACCTCCCTAGGGTCCTATAGTCCCTCACCTTTAGGGGCCTTCTGCTATTTGAGCCTTGTTGTGGGCCTAGAGGCAAAAGTGGGTGGTGAAAGTGGATCCTGAGGCACGTCAGCATTATCCTGTTCAGCCAATACCGGATCAGTTTCTTATGGTGCAGGGGAGAGGCCACCACCACAAGGGGTGGAGGTGGGGTTGCCTCCACCAGTGTGTGCGAGGAAATTTCTTCAGGCAAAATAGTCTTATCAGCATGTAGATACTTAATATCCTCAGCTTCCTCGGGATGGGCCCACACATCTCCATCCCACTGTATGAGATCCCGTTCTTTTTCAATTAGTAGCCTCACTTTTACTTCAGATCACCTTTGAGGTAGAGGTTCTTATGTTGTATTTCACAACTTAAATTCTGAGGACCTATGTTTGGATTTTTTGCAGCCTCAGTCCTTTGGCTTGAAGAGAGATGGTTCTTTTTCAAGTCATACTTAGAAATGTTTAGATTCTTTATGTATGTCTGAAGCTGGGAATTTGAATCTTTGTTTTATTCATTTATTTTTGGTTTTTTGTTTTGTTTTGTTTTGAGGCAGGGTTTTACTATGAAGTTCAGGATGAGGCCTCAAACTCTCAGCAGTCCTCCTGCCTCAGCCTCCCAAGTACTGGGATTACAGGTGTGCACCACCAGGCCTGACCAGGAATTTAAATCTTTGAATCACTTGCATGAAGCCTGTTTCTATTAACAAAGGCAGTGACTGATTATTCCCCAATGTTTTTTCCCCAGTACTGGAGTTTGAACCCAGGGCTTTCACACTGAACTACCTCCCCAACACTCCCTCCAGTTTTTAAAATTTTTTTCTTTCTTTTCTTTTCTTTTTTTCTTTTTTTTTTTTTTTTTGCCGGGCATGGTGGCTTAAACCTGTATTTAGGATAATTGTATATTCAAACAGTTCACACTAAGGCCTATCAGTATTGCCCCCATTATCAAGAGAGACCATCGCATCTTTAGTTTTCACCAACTTAGAGAACCATCTCTATAAACTGTTAAAGCTATTTAAAAATTTCATCTTCACATTTCTGTTTCTCTATAGCCACTTCCAGTACCAAAATGTGTAGCACTGCTCACTAGAGATACAGATTTCATTAATATAAGTTGGGCTTCAAGGTAGGCTTAGAGTGCTCACTGCAGAGTCGGGTAGAAGAATGCAGAAGGGCTGTCTGCACAATGGAAATCTGAGGGATGTAGGTGCACGCCTGTAATCCCAGCTCTTGGGAAGCTGAGGCAGGAGAATCACTGCAAGTTCAAGACCAGCGTGGGCTACAAAGTGAGCTCAAGGCCAGCCTGAACTGCATAGTGAGACCCTGTCTCAAAAAAGACAAAAAGAAGAAAAAGTGAAAGGCCCTGAGATCAGTGTAGAGTCCTGTACAAGTTATTATCAGGGAGTTTAAGGGTCTGTGTTAGAAGCTATAAGACAGATGCACAAGGCCAAGACAGACTAGACCTCCTTTGAAGACACAAGTGAACCTTCCTCCTCCACCTGCCCCCTTCTCATTACAGCTAGGTTTCAGGCCTAGTTGCCAGTCACTCCCAGGGTGGTTCTTTCTTCAGTAATTCCATTCAGCCACACTCAGAGCCATGCTAACCTAGTCAGTTGTGTGTTTGTTACTCAAGTTGACTCAGCAGTTAGCTATCACAGAATTTAAGGACTTTCTCCTCTGAGGTAGTCTAAATACAAAGATGTTTTTGGCACATGGGTTTTGGTAGGAAAATGCATACTCATTTGAAGAGGTGATTTCAGAAGGGAAAGTAAACAGCATTACAGTATTTAGAATGTAGATGTTAGAGAACAAGTGATGACAGTACGTGGTTTTCTTATTGAGAATTAGGACTTTTGTGGTGCTTACAGAAATAAGCTCAAAGCAAGTACTGAAAAGGCTCTTAAATTAAGGCTTATTGGATAAAGATGTGTTCAGATAGCTATGTGAATGGGCATCACTATTTTTTTAGTTCAGTTCTGCAAACTCTAGATTAAAAATCAAGCATTGTACTTTTGTATTTTAACCAGATACAAATAAAAATAATTTTTTTCTTTTTAGGATGCACAGAATAAAAAATGTGCCCAAACAGAGAAAAATTTAGGTGAGTAAATTATGTTAATGTGAATTTATTGATAAACCCTAAGGGGAGGTCCATCCCTCCAGTCAGATCAGCATAGCAGATTTATACCTCTTAAAAATGTATTTCTATTTTCTTTACTAAAAACTTAAAAAAAAACACCTTACATAATTTCCTAAATGTTGCTTATTGCAGATGCAGACAGTATTTGTACTCTAATTTGAAAAGCAAAGCATGGAGAATTAAACTGAATTTCTAACATCTTTTTTTATTTTTGAGAATCTATTTTATTTTATGTTTATCCCCAGAGGTCCGGTATTTTATTTTTTCAGTCGGATTTTATTGGTACATTTTAAGTAAGCATAGTGATCACATTCATCATAGAGAATTTGTAGCTGTAAATGATAAAACTTTTTTTCCCCATTCCCCTACTCTCTCCATTTACAAAAACTTTGTTTCCATGAAACTATTTTTTATTAAAATAGAGTTTTAGTCAACAATTAAATATTATTAGTATCTAACTAGCTAAAATATTCATTTTGTGCCTTTTTTTTTTTTTTTTTAATCTCCTTTAACCATTTCCCTCTTTTTTTTGGCAATCCTGGGGATTGAACTCGGGGCTTTGTGATGTAGGCAAGTGTTCTACCACTGAGCTACATTGCCAGCCCATCTCACCATTTTTATTTAGCAGTGTTCATTTATTCAGGGGTGAGCCACAAAGACTAATTTTAAACTTTTTTTAAATTTTAAAGAAGAATTTGACATCTGCAGTGTGTGGTGTAGTAAACCAGTGTCTGACCTGCACGACTACTGTGATGCCATTAAGATATATATCTTCTGGCCACTTCTTTTTAAACATCAGCCCACTTCTGCAATACCACGATTTCATCAGTGTGTGGAGCTCAGGTAAGTTATCTACATTATTCTCTTCTATGAACACCAATAAATGTTTTGCATGGCACTAAGGGATGCCAAATACACTGGAAGGTTCATGCCTCACTCCTTCCTGCTATTCAGTTTTATTTTTGTTTAATTAGGTTGAAAAAGAAAATATTCAGTTTTTAATATAAATGAATATTCTAATGAATATATTCTGAATAGTACTAGATACTGGGCTCAGCACTGAGCCAGGAATGATATACCTTTATAAATATCAGTGCTTAGACTGGGCATGGTGGCACACGCCTGCAATCTCAGCTGTTGGGAGGCTGTAAACAGGCAAATCACTGCAAATCCAATCTAGTAGTGAGACCTTGAACACCCTGTAGACCCTTCCCTAAAAACAAAAAATAAAAAAATGAAAAGATCAGTGCTGTAGTAGAAGAAAGAGAAAAAGATACATTATTTGGTCCATTTCATGGCACACCACTTTTTTTTTCGTAAAGAGACATAGCCATGTATGTCTCAAACCCACATTTATTCTTTAGAATATTTGTATTCGTAAATTATTAATTTTGTTTATTCATTTATCTTTTGAGACAAAGTCTCACTATGTAGTGCAGGCTGGCCTTGAGCTCACATACGTAGCCCAGGCTGGTCTCAGACTCATGGCCATTTTCTGCTTCAGCTCCTGAGTGCTGGGGTGCACGACCACGTCCAGCTTGATGCACTGTTAATTTTAATTTTATGGGGTTTATTATGTTAAACGACGAGTGCTTAGCAGAAAAAGTGTTATAAAAATAAAGTATTGCGTTTTAATATTTATGAAGTGTTTATAAAAAAGCATCAAAATTTTCAACATTGACTGGTTTTTGGTAAACAAGATATAAAGGAGAACAACATAAATTCTTGCATGAACTACAATGAAAATACTAATGGCACTCTACAAAACAAATGATCTTCCGTTGTCACACCTAGGAGTCTTCACACATGACAACAGCACATTCCATATGCAGGTACTGCTTATACTGGCCGCACGTGTGCTTTTCTTTCTTAGCCTTTTTGTAGGACATACTTGACATTTCACTAGTTTTGGTGTTTTGTCAGGAGATTCTTATATGCAATATGTGGTTCACAAGAACACAAAATGTCAATAAAGTATTCTTAATATGTACTAGAATAAATAGTATTTTCATATCAGTTGTGTAATTGCTTACAAAACCTAAGAGATGATATCAGATATAAATTCCTCTATGAAATAAAATACCATCAACACTCTTATTAAAAAAAAAAAAATCTAGGGGTCTGGGGAGATAGCCCATTAGTGCAAGGGCATGAGTTCAATCCCCGGTTCCAAAAAAAAAAAAATCTATATTTCAGTTGTCACACCTAAATTATAAAACAGGATATCTATATAAAAAAATGTCAAATGCATAAAGAGTGCTTAGAATAGACATCAGTACTTACACATAAGCTGTGAATTTGCTTACAAAACCTAAGGTATGCCATTAGAAATCAATTCCTATGTTAACTACAGTGAAATACTGACAACCATTTACCCAAGAAAATCTTCAGTCATCAAACTTGAATAATAAAATAAGACGTCAATATAATATGAAATGTGGGGCCGGCCAAATAGCTCAACACATTAAAGTGCCTGCAAGCAGGCACAGGGGCTGGGGGTTTGATCCCCAGGCCTGCCATGCTGGCCCCGCCCCTGGGGCGCACTGAGATGGCAATTGAGACTGGGCATGGTGATGTACACCTGTAATCCCAGCTCTTGGGAGGCTGTAAACAGGCGGATCACTATGAGTCTGATCTAGTAGTGAGGCCCTGAACACCCTGTAGACCCTTCCATAAATACCAAATATATGAAATGTGTAATGAGTGCTTAGAATAGACACCAACATTTTTACATCAGCTGTGTGCTTGTTTACAAAACCTAAGAGATAACATCAGAAACAAAAAACATGTGAACTACAGTGTAACATAAACAGGCCTATCACAGAAATAATCTTTGCTTCAACTTTTTTTATTTATTTATTTATTTA